ATTACATTGCTCTTAAGGTATTTCCAACTATATCTAGCTGTTTACAAAAATGTATCTTTTACAACTCTGCTTCCGACACTTGCATTGTTTCGAAAATTTCAAACACAAAGATTTCTTGTCCTAGCTTGCGGTCATTTCGATCTTATCTCTTTAGATATCGAGATGGCGAAAGATGCAAATGCAGTCTTTTTATCCCGGTTTCCTCTCCCGTGAATAATTCGCTAACGGTTGGATTTATTACCGTAATGTTTCTTATTTTATTTTTTCTTCGAATCGCGGTTTCATTACGCGAGTATCTCTACGAATATTATCGCAGTTATTTAACAGCCTTTTTGTTATATTTAAATATATCGTTCATATATTATGTAAATTAAATATATTTCTTTCTTAAATTTCGCGTACATATTATTTACCGCGCTATTTAGGTTCTCATTTGCTTATGGAAAGTTATTAAATATATCGTCCGCGCCATTTTTTTATTCAACGATGAAACTTATTTCGGAATAATAAATAGTAGCTATCCTTTTCTCTCTCATCTCTTTCTGTTGAATTTATTAAATTAATTCGGCTGCGGCAAGAAGAGAAAAGTGATGTGGACATAATAATTGGCATACGACCAATGCTAGAAAATTAATGTTTATTCGTTAAATAATACACATTTCGCCACGTTTTTCGATATATCATGCTCGCGGCAGAAATTTAATTAATAATTAACGTGTGTTCTTTTGATATTACTAACAATTACGCATTCGGATATCGAACGACGGTACTTCCGACCCAATTCGCGCGTGTCTCTATCTCCCTCATTATTTCACCGGAATCGATGCATGTGATTGCTCCGATATATTATTACGCGAGAAATGGGTATTTTTAACACCGTTTATCGCGCGCCGTTTACGAAATTATTCGCGTGGTAACCGAATGAAAAATTAACACGACCAACACCAAGTGAAACGTCGAATCGTGTCGCATGTAATTTAATATCATTACGCGACTTAGCTTCGGAACTCGTGATAAATGAATTTTCAACTCTTTTCCCTCGCTCTTTTATTGTGCCTACTTTCACGCAACTGCTCCATTCATCTCTCATTTTCCCTCGATGCATTAAATACCAAGCGCATTTAAAAGATAGACGGTCGATATCCGCTGTGTACGCGCACGCTTTGCGTGCGCGCGCGCGCGCGCGCGCGCGTGTGTGTGTGTGTGTGTGTGTGTATACTGTGTGTGCGTGAAAGAAGAGGAACACCCACGTCGATCCGATATCGAAGTCCCGGAGACGATCGAAAAAGTGTATGACGTATCGGAGAATTCCTTCGTCGGTCGTCGCGGATCGTCTTCAGCGCATTCGTCCTCTCGAGACCGGCGAGGAACGAACGAACGTCGTACCCGACACACACGATTCTCCCGAGTCCGGCGTAATTCGGCCGTTTCACCACAAACACATTCTCCGTCTCTCTCTCTCTCTCTCTTTCTCTCTTTCTCTCTTCTACTCGCGTAAAGTATGAGTCGCGCGTTGTCTCGTGTATCTCGCTCTCCTCCCCCACCCCGATACTCCGCATACTTGAAGCAGGTAACGTGCCAACGCAATGGCGCCTTACTGGCTGCACCTGGGGGACAACCGTTCGCCAGGTTAGGCCCTGCGCCGATTGGCCGGTCGGTGTAAAGCGGGACGCGGATTGGCCGCGGCGACGCGGCTCCGCCAGCACGAAGGTTTTAATCTCGTTTACCGTAGGCGCGCTGGCGTTCAGTTTAAGTTACCTCGGCCGGTCGGTCGGTCGGTCGGTCGGTCGGTCGATCAGACGCAGGCTCGCGTCACAGTTTAAATCGGGTGTAAAACGTCATTCCATTTGGAACCTACGAAACTGGGGGTTCCTCCGTCGGGCCGCCGTATCATCGTGAGTTTGTAAGTCCGTCGCGACGTAGGAGCGAGCGCGCGCGCGCGCGCATGAGACCATCCGGATCCGACACCGGTCGGTGGGTGTTGTGCGCGAACGCGAGAGCGAGGAGAGAACGCGTCTGCGAGCGCGCGGTGACACGAACGAATCGCGCGCTCGCGCTCGCGCGATTCTCGTGCCGTCCCGTGATACGCGCGAGCGCGCCAGCGCCTTTCAGTCGCCTTGCGAAACGCCAACCTTACGCGCGTTTCGTGCATGCGTGCGTGCGTACGTGCGTGCGTGCTCGCGTGCATATGTGTTACGTGCGCGCGTAGTATCGCGAGTGAGTGTGCGCGCGCAACGTACGCTCGCGGGCGTCGCGCGCGTGTGTGACGCTCACGTAACGTACGTACGCTCGTGCTTACGTGCCGAGGGAGAAAGAGAGAACGGACGAGAAATAAACTACGGAGAAAAAGAGAGAGAGAGAGAGGAGGCAGGCAGGCAGGCAGGCGCGCTCGCGCGCGTAACGGCTCCGTTTCTCCTTCCGTCCTGCTCTCGCTCGTCGGTAACGTGGCCGCGCCGCCAAATCGCTGTGTACGCGTGTACCGTGATTGGTCGGTGCGTGGTATTTTTGAAAAGTCGTAATTTCCCCCTTCCTCACATCCCGCTCTCTTTCATTTCCTTCGTGTTTCGCGTTTTTCCGCTCTCTCGTTACAAACGTCGCAAAGACGACGGGAAAAAATCCGCGATCGTCGCCGCCGCCGTATGGACAATTTTGAGAAAGCCGTCTGGTCACATCCCGTCCCCATACCGTCCCGTCCCATCCTGTCCCCTTCTCTTCCCTTCGCTT